GTGGTATCTCATGGGGATTTTAATTTTCATTTCCCAGATTATAAGTCATGTTGATGATTTTTTTCATGTGCTTATTGGCCATCTGCATTTTCTCTTTGGAGAAGTGTCTTTTTAGTTCTTCTGTCTACTTTTTGACTGAATTATTGGTTTTTTGGTTGAGTTGTATAAGCTCTTTTGTTGATCTTTGATATATGTCCCTTATAGTTGTGTGAAGTGCAAATATTTTCTCTCAATCTGTAGAATAGCTCTTCGTTTTGGTTATTGTCTTTTTTGCTGTGCAGAAGCTTTTTAGTTTGATGTAGTCCCAGCTGTTTATGGTTTCCTTCATTTTCTTTGCTTCAAGGGATGAGTCCTCAAAGATGTTTCTGAGATGTATGTCATGGAGGGTTTTGCCTATGTTTCCTTCTATATACTTTATGGCTTCAGGTCTTACTTTTATCCATTTTGAGTTGGTCTTTGTATATGGTATGAAGGAGTAGTCGTTTGATTCTTTTGCATGTAGCAGTCCAGTTTCCCAGCATCATTTATTGAAGAGGCTGTCCTTGTCCCAGGGTGTATTCATTGTTCCTTGTCGTAGATTACTTAGTTGTCCAGCTAGTTGTGGCTTTATGTCTGGGTTTTCAGTTTGATCCCAATGGGCTATGTGTCTGTATTTGTTCCAGCACCATTCTGGCTTAGTTATTGTGGCTTGAGTAACAATCACTTTTTAACTCTGTTCATCAAGTGTTTTCAGTAATCCCTACCATCTCGTTATAAGAACTATAAGAAACGGGTTTTTTCTGTTACATCCCAAGGCACTTCTCAGTTGCTGTTTTCGTGTCAAGTCACAGCTGCTGGAGTCTAGTTATGATAAAAATAAAATTCGTAAAAGTCTCCAAATGATATTTTTATGAGTGGATATTACTTGTACTAGTTGAAGTTGTGGGGTAGAATAATTGTTGCACACTCCATGTGTTTTTCACCCCTTCATTACTTGAGAAATCGACTGAGGGGAGGTTAGATTGAGGGGAGGTTAGATTGTTGTGAGCCAATAGTAGTTAGCATGACTCCGCCTTGATGTGCACACTATGCTTTATGTGGATTTTGTAATTTCTGTTACCTCTGCCCGGTGGGGGTTATGGTAGTCCCTCACTTCTTGTCTTTTCAGCACTGAAAATGAGTCACTGTTCATCAGTATTCTGCTTGGCATAAGTCACCAAGAATGGTAACTGCCACTGCCTCGTGGCTGTTTGTGGTAGTGGTGCCTGGAGAGGCTTAGAAAGCTTCATACAAGCAATATGTGTGTATTTTTGTTACTGAAAGATAAAGCAATACAGATGCCTATGAAATAAGCTAGAAAGGATTCCACTTCTGTCCCTTCCGTCTTTTATCTCATCCCTGTCCCCAAGACAACCACCATAAAAGCCTAGTGTATGTTCTTTTAGACCTTTGTTTTGGCATAAACATACTCAGAATTCTTAAGAGCTGGTTCAGAGGGGCTTTTCTTTGAATGTCTGCTCAGCTCCTCTGCCCTCAACAAGCCTTTCCTTTCCCCTTGTTTGCTTCCAGACTTAAACTCTGCAGGCTGTAATTTATTATTTATACCTCCTGTTCCCTTAACCCCTTCCTTACCCCCTGGGATTATGCGTAAGAACAAGAAAGGCATAGATTCGTAACTTTGTAAAATATGTTAGATTCAAAATAATTCTTTTCCAGGTGGGGTCAGTTTTTGGCTTCTAAAGTAAATTTTCTCACAAGCTGTTAATTGGAGGGTCAACTGATGGCGGATCTTTTGGACTTAGTCATATAGCGTAAGTATCAATTTTCGCTTATCAGTAATAGTGGATATTTGTAGCTTAAAATGTATGTAAATTGAAAATAATGAAATTTGTGGATCGGTTATAAATAATATAATCATCAGTACTCCAAGTTTATTTTTTAAAAGAATTATTTGTGCATACTAGAGCTAGGATGTGAGCCAGAGGTGCGGAGGTGAGAGGATTCACCAGAGATAGAGTGGGGAGCAGAACAGGCTGAGGGAACAGCAGATGGGGAGGTCTGCTGCGCCATGTGGGTCACCTCCCTGGCTGGGGATGGCAAGATAACTTCATAGTGCTGAAACTTACTTAACCCCTTGTGCCCTTGCTTAGCTGGCCTGCTTCACTTTGCTTGGGAATAGGCCACCAACAACTTCTGGTGAGGCTGCAAGTGTAGCCTCCTTTTCCTTGCATGGATTAAATGTCACGCTGGCTAGATGCTGGTCTGTGGTCAGTGTTCCTGGCACGGAGGACAAATATAGTGAGAAACAGGGAGGTGTGTGAGAAGGAAGGCTTCTCCTTGCTGCACCCTGAGGCTGGTATGCAGTGAGCGCCTGCCTCTGTAGGTGAAAGTGGGGTGGGCCACAGTACAGAGGGGCTTGGTGTAAGCAGGAGAAATGTTTCTAACAGGTTTTTGTCTTACCTACCTGAAAGTAAGGGATAGTTGAGACAGGGACAAAAATATGTTCATTTATTTAAAGGCCACGTGGAATCAGACAAACTCGAGTTTTAATTGGGGCACTCCTTACTGGTCATTTAACTACAGAAAAGTTAACTTTTTTGAGTCTCAGGTTCATTATGAATAGATTAAACGTAAGGTTTCTGTGAGTATTAAATGGGACAACACAGGTGAAGTATCTAGCATGGTACCTGACATTTGCTAGGGGCCCAAACTAGAATTCTTCATTGGCAGTGTGCTACCTCTTCGCTCACTGAACTAAAGTGGAATTATTCAGCAGAGTAGTGAGGACTTACTGCGTGCCAGACACTGTACTGCAGACATCAGCTGGAGGAAAACATGCTCCTGGCTCCTGACCAGAGGAGATAGCCCCTTTGTAGAGTTCTGTGTAATGAAAACAGCAACAGTGTGAGCACAGAAAGGAGGCATCCTGTTAGAACTGGGGGGTCTGGGAAGGATAGCTGGAAAAGGCTGTATTTGAGCAGATTCTTTTTTGGTCTGGTGAAGGGGAAGGAGAGGGCTCCAAGGAGGGGCACGTGGAAGAGCATCAAGGTCTGAGACAGCAAGATTTATAGGAGGAGCCACAAGTGGGGTATTTTTTCCAGAGTGTACCAGTTTGAAATTTCCTTTCTTTTTCCCTTTTCTCCAGCCCTTTTGCGTGTCTGTTGTGGTGCACTGGTGAGACAAGATGATTTCTGGAGGAGGATGATTTGGGACTGACTGTTGAGTGTACAGCTCGCTTGCCCTCTCGTGTGTGGTCTTGACAAGTCACCGGCAGAATTTGACTCTCCTTTGTTTATGCGTTTCTACCATACGTGAGCAGAATGTAATTGACTTTTGCATTTTTCCATAGTCTGCACTTAGTGGAGGTTCATAATTGGTCCCTGTAATTAATTACAGGTATCAAGCTCTAATTTAGCATTTAGGCAGTTTTTAGTCCACTCTCATTTTCAGTATTGCTAGTGGTGAGAGACGATTTTTGTATTTGTGGGAAAGAATCCTTTGGGGTCATCCTTTTCATCCTTTGCAGGAAAAGAGGTTGTTGACATCATGTGGCTTCTGCAGACTTTTGGTTGGTAGATGACATCACAATTCCTGTAGCTATATACAGAATTGTGGCTCTTCCTTGGCCATCATTCTCTTAGGAAATCCTCTCTCTGTTGAAGTTGTGTTTTTTTTTTTTTTTTTTTAAAGATTTATTTATTTATATATACAGAACTGGAATACAGGCCTTAGGTCCAGGGGGCAGTGAAAGGATTCACTAGAGACAGAACTGGGAGCAGAACAGGCAGATCGATGAAGTACACTGCTGAGGGAAGCAGCAGGTGGGTCAGGAGAGGTCTGCTGCGCCATATGGGTCACCTCCCTGGCCGGGAGGTGATCGAACTCACACTAAAAAGTCAGCTCCACAGTGCTCCGCTTAACCCATTTTGCCACTGAGGAGGACCCTGAAGTTGTGTTTTAATGAAGTTGAGCTGAAGAAATTCTTAGCTGATAATCTTTCCTTTAGCTTCTGTGAACACACTTGACAAGGATGCAAAGATTCCATTTAGAGTTTACCTGGATAAATGCCTTCTTCCAGAAAGGTATTATTTTTCACCCCTTGAGCGCTGTCATGAAAACAGGCCTACCTTTCCCTGCATTTGTAAAATCTGGAATAAGTTCTGTTTTGACTTAGAAAATAAGTGATTATCCTGAACAGACTAGGACTCAGGACTTACGTCTCAGCTAGGTGTTTGCATTAGAGGAAATATTGAATGAGAGAAATCTATAACCAGGCTCTGCCTCCAAACTGAAGCCTGGGGTTTGGAATAAAGAAAGCACTTCTCCTCTTACTTTTTTTGCCCCCCATAACCCACTCCCCCACTGTGGCTGCTGGATATAAAGTTACATTAGATAGAACTGTCTTGTTTCTTTTTCCTATTAACAGGTGGGATGATAAGAGTCTAGATTTATGTAGGTGGCAAGACTTGAAGAGATGAAATTGCCTCAGCACCAGAATGAACTCCAGAGATCAGCATCTGAACTTGTCACACTTAACTGTGGACAGGACACTGCACCAGGGGCAGCTGAAAACTGGTTAGGGAACAGTAAATATAAAATAGATTCCTCAAGTGATCTTTCATTTTGGAGAATTGGTTGGTGAAGTAGAAGATAGTTTCTCTTCCACCCTCAAATTTGCCTGATTCCAAACCACACTGGTATTAGGTGAGGGAAGGAAGCCACTCATATAAGATTGTGAATGGTGAGACAGAAAAATGTCGTTTTCTTTGGAGAAAGAGGAAAGAGCGCAGTGAGAGTGGGAGCACGTTAGCAGACTCTGAGTGACAAGGCCTTACTGTCCCAGTTCTTGATGAAGCTGCTTTGATTGATGAGGGCAGCAGGAAGACCACTGAAACATCCTGGGAGTCTTCCCCCATTGATGACCTAGACTGGTTGCCCAGGGAAAATGCTGAAGTAGGACTGTATTGCATTGAATCTCTCGCCCTAGGATTTCAGTGTTCCCAATTGATTTTTCCTTTTAGGCTGACAGGCTTCTAGGATGCTGAGGCTACTACTGAAGGTGCGTGGCCCCTTACCTGAGCCAGGCCATGAAGCCATGTGGCCATGATGTGGACCCCTCATGGCCTCAGCGGGAACGGAGCATTACAGTATTGGCCTCCGGCGGGGAAACAGCTTCAAGCAGAGTGGTCTCTCAGGCACTGTGCCTGCCCCATCACCTGAGAAACCCTCTGAGGGCAAAGTCTGGTCTCAGGCCCATCAGCAGGTGAAGCCGATTTGGAAGCTGGAGAAAAAGCACGTGGGGACACTTACAGCAGGATTGGGCACAGGCCTCTTGGGTGTCCCACCTCAGCCAGCGTATTTCTTTTGCCCCAGCACTTTATGTAGCTCTGGGACCACAGCAGTCATTGCAGGCCATAGCAACTCCTGTTACCTGCACTCTCTCCCGGACTTGATCAGCAATCCCCTGCTGTACCGCCGCTCCAACTACAGACACAAACCATACCAGCAGCTGGAGTCTTTTTGCTTGCGTTCAAGCCCATCAGACAAAAGACCTTTTTCTCTCCCTCAACAGAGTCTCCCTGTCAGTCTCACTGCCAATAAGGCCACCTCTCCCATGGTTTCCCCCATTACCCAGCCCATGGCATCCTTACCCACAGATCCATACCTCTCGCTGGGAGCAGCTGGGGAAAACCCTTCAGGGAAGAGCCTGGCCTCTGCCATCTCAGGGAAGATCCCATCTCCACTCTCTTCTTCCTACAAACCCATGCTAAATAACAACTCCTTCATGAGGCCAAATAGCACTAAAGTGCCTTTATCGCAGGCCACTGAGGGCCTGAAGCCAGTATCCTCACCCAAAATCCAACTTGTCTCTTGGCGTCATTCAGGAGGCACTGGAGACTGTATACTCCAGCCTGTTGAACACAAGGTTTCCCAAAATAGTGGCACTGCACTAAGTGATGCCCCTGTCCACAACAGCCCAACTACCCCTAACTCCTTCAACACTTCCACCACCAGTGTTGCCTCTCCCCGGTACAATCAGAGTAACTTAGGCATGAGGGCAGAGCCGTTTCCCTATAGCCTCGATGGCAGCTCTGCATCCCAGGCTCTGACTAAGGAAGTTCGATTCACTGAGGCCGTAAGGAAGTTGACTGCAAGAAGTTTTGAGAAGCCAAGACAAAGCTACCAGTTTGAACAGTCTTTCATGAATCCCAGCTTGCAATGGACACCCCTCAACAAGAACACACAATGGAAACCTGTAATAGGCCAACAGTTTTCTCAGGAGGATGCTGGAGCAGACAGTAGGATCTTCTCTGAGGCCTCAGACACCTTGGAATTGGACAGTACAGTCTTTTGTACTAAGCGTATCAGCATTCACCTCCTTGCCTCACACACCAGTGGGCTCAGTCACAGCCCTACTTGTGGATCTCTGCCAGAGGTCAGCTCTCCGCCACTTGAAGAAGACAAAAATCTAGTTCTGCCTTCTCCTGCTCAGCCCCTTGCTGTAGCTGACATGACTACCTGCCTCTCTTCCATCCATCTGAGCCAACTTGGGAAGGAGGGGCCTGAGGTATCCAGACAGCTGGACTTGCCTACTCAGGATATTGGGTAAGTTGGGGGCTTTGGGCTCACTTAGACAGTAGAATGTATACACCATACTTCGGAGACACTGACCCAGTCAGTAGCTCTGAAGTTTGTTTTTATTATTTAGCTGCCATAGAATTGTGGTTTCCTTTTGGACAGAGAGCAGCAAACCACAACTTGCATGCTAACTATGCATGTGTCTCCTGCTTTTTGTAAATAAAGTTTTATTGAAACACAGCCTTACCCATTCATTTACTACTCCTTTATGTTAAAATTTTCGGGTTGAGTAGTTGTGACATACTGAATGGCCCACACAACTAAATACACTGTCTGCTTTCTTAGAGGAAGAGTTTACTGATCCCTTTTTTAGGTTATACCCAGGGTAGAAGTAAAAATCCTAAACACCATATGTTGGGTTCTGTGGCTTTCTCCCTAATTCCAAATATAGTTAAGTTCTCAGTTGTTCCTGAGTGATAGCCGTTTCAGAGTCAGAGCATACACAGACGTGGCTCTGTCTTTTATGCCTTGTTACCTCTCTGTAGCATGATACAGTAACATCTATTCTGAGTTCCCAGAGAGAGGTCTAGGGACATTTGAGGTCAATTATCAGACATTCATTGATGGTGTTTTATATGCAGAATTATGTACTTAAATGCTATGGACTTCAAAGAAGATGGAAGACTTAGTGCTTCTCTACAGAGTAGGGGATGTAAGGTTGAGGAACTATGACTAGACCTAAGCTATGAGGGCAAGAGATCCAGGCAAGAGACAGCAGGTTGGTGATTGGGGAAAAGACAAACATTGGGAAATGATGAAGGACTGAGAAACTGACATGTCTTTTGGAGTTAACTCAGCTTGGGGACATGGTTCTTCTTTATAGTTCAGCTACTGACCTCCAGCTAGACCAGGTGGAGGCTGAAGATTTAGAAGAAGAGCTTGTTGATGGTTTGGAAGACAGCTGTAGCCATGATGAGAATGAAGAGGAGGAAGAAGGTGCGTGGGGGGCCTTCTTACCTCCAACGGAGAGTTGGGCACCATCTGCAGGGAAGGGGGCTAACAAATGTGTACCAGGTCCTTGACTCTACACTAATGGACTTTGGGGGTGTCTAAAGTGATAGTAGCTTTTGTGGTACTTTGTTCTTTAGTCCTCCTGTCCCACAGTTTTGCCTTCTCCCTGGTACTTAAGCTTCAGGATGGCACAGTGTGAGGCAGCAGGGTGGTGCTTATGGCTACGCAAGATGGCTGAGCCCAGGATGTCCAAGGAAGAGCTTCCTGGGCTTGGCAAGTTTGTGTAGCAGCCTCTCCCAGTTGGAACTTCTCTGCTCTTCCCCTAGGAGACTCAGAGTACTCCTCCTTCAGTGGTGTCTCCCCCAGCGAGTCGGTGGCAGTGATCTCTCGGTGAGTGTTAGCTGTGTAGATTGTTGGTAGATGCTAGATTCAGCATCAGGCATACATCAAGACAGCTGCTCAGCCCTTTATTTAACTTTTTTGATTGATAAGATAAAATTCACAAAAGGTGGTAATAATTTGCTTATGATTTCAATGCCTATACAATGTACAGATCTTAACCTCTCTGAGGCTTAAACATTGAGGTTGATGAATCCCAAACCACTTTGCATTTTAAGGATGCCTAAAATCAAATACCTTTGAATTGCTAAAATTTTATTTTTTCCCAACTGTGTTACTTGAGGATTGACTCTTTTTGAGCCCTGTTGTGATAACCCTGGCCAAGCCATTGTTGGAAAACCCAGTAGGGACCCCGTGAGGCCTTCTGCCCCAGATCCCTAGGGCTGCTTTATCTCACAGCTCTGTATGTAAGTCTGGCTTCACAATCATTTCCAAAATGAAGAAGAGTTAATCATCCTTGTATCTTCAGAAAACCTAAATATAAAATGAGTTAGAAGCATTACTAACTCATTACTAACTGTTGCTTTTTTCCCCTTTAAAAACCTCTATACTTCTTAGATCTTTAGTAGTTTTCTTCCATTTTAATTATCCTTATCATCTATTTCTCTTTGTCTTAGAGTAGCATAGTCCTCTGTTATTACCTACAGAATTCACTATCTGCTGGGAACTGCTCTTTTCAGGGACTTATCTGGCCCATGGCTTGGCATCCCAAAATCTGGAGCTGTCTCATAGGATGAAGTGCTGGGAAATTTTGTCTTTAGGTGGCACTTAATGGTGCAGTTCTATATTGGTTAGCCCTTGCTTGCATTGTACGGGTCATTATTTGCAAAATTATTAAGCACTTGTCTCTGTAGAATCACAATTTAAAAGAACACCCAAAAGAAATGATAAGTAACCATAACAACACCTAAGGGCTGGGCCTTGTCTTTCCTTGCCACATGTCTGTTTTTATCTTAGGAACTGCACGGAGATTCTGACCAAATCCCTTTCCACTGAGAAAGTTGTCCGACCAGCTCTTATCTACAGTCTCTTTCCCAATGTGCCCCCTACCATCTATTTTGGCACTCGGGATGAGAGAGGTAAACCTCAGGGGAGCCCCCAGGAGAAGGAAAGAGACTCACAAAGATGGGAGGAGTAGAAGGGGCTGTTATGGTGGTTATCCTCACACTTTGAACTCAGCTTCCCCCTTCTTACCACCCCTGCTGGTTTAATATGGCCTGTTTTCTCACCTTTTAACTGACCCTTTATTGGCCTTATAATCTCATGCTTAGTTCATGCTCTATAACTTGTTTCTTTCCCATCAGTTGCCCCTTCTTCCTGCATTCCTTATTCATGGGCTGCTCCCGTCTGTACCCCCCCCCCAAAGCATGCTCCTCTGAAATTTAGACCTGGAGCAGTACTTAGTGATAGGCCTGCTTCAGACAAGGTTGAACAGAGCCATCTTTTCTCTTTTCTCGAGAATCTTCAGTCTCTTGTTTTCCTCTACCTCCTGCCCCCTTTTCCCTCAGTGGAGAAACTTCCCTGGGAGCAGAGAAAGCTGCTTCGGTGGAAGATGAGCACAGTGACCCCCAACATTGTTAAGCAGACCATTGGACGGTCCCACTTCAAAGTCAGCAAGCGTGAGTCACTTATTCCTTCAAGCCTGTCCTTTCCTCCCAACAGAAGAGCTTTGGACAGGAGGTGAGCCCTAGATACTTCCTGCTATCCACATAGCACCCTGTCTTGAAGTTGCCAACTGTATCTGGGGACATACCTCTGAAATCCCTGTGAGCTGACGCCTGTTCCTCAAAATAGGAAAACAAAGGTCCATTGTTCTGTCCCTCATCCTGGAGCCTCATGTAGGGCAGCTCCAGGGCAACTCTGAGAACAGGGTCTGGGAACTGTGCCCAGGCTCAGTGGTACTTTAGGAGTTTCTGAGCCCCTCTCTGTCCCAGGGACTGAGCTGGCAGAACTGACTCCCTTATGTGTCTTCTGTAGGAAATGATGACTGGCTGGGCTGCTGGGGCCACCACATGAAATCTCCTAGTTTCCGATCCATCCGGGAGCATCAGAAGGTATGGATCTTTCTGAGACTCTTTCCCCTGGGATGTTCCTAGGCAGGAGGAGGTTGGGAATGGGGGAGAGAAGAGGATGGTGACCATGGAGAAATTATCAAGGTTTATAAAGGACTGGATGAGTTACCAGAGGAGGGTGTAGTGTGAGTCTGGCAGATCGTACACATCAACAGTTTAGCTGCAGGTCTTGGGCAGTCGAGGCTCTCAGAGAGGCTTTTCCCTGATGTGTCGTGATTATGTTTTTCCTGTAACTGCCGCATCGACTAAATTCCCCAGAATTGACTATGTATTAAGAGGACTCTTGTCTTATGTTGGAACACAAGACCCTTGCCCCAGAGTTATTGAAGACCATATGCTTTCCTGTTTTGTTCTATAAGCTGTTGTGAAAAAGAATTAACAGCTTTTTTGTTTTGTGCTGGTGGTGACTGCCATGTCTGTTGCTGGTAAATGTCATCAACTATCAACTCTAAGGAACATTACATTTTTTTGTGGTTGGTTTGTGTCTTTGTTATCTTTTGGTGAGTAATTGGCAGCTAATACTTAAGGACCATCGAGTGGTGATAATAAGATGGAACAGAGGCTTAGAGTGTCACTAAGGAAGGCGGAATGGTATAGTGAGTATTGCATTTTCCTTGTGTACTCACCTGGGTCCTCTTCCGACTCTCAACTTTGTCCCTTCTGTAGCTGAATCACTTCCCAGGTTCATTCCAGATTGGGCGAAAGGACAGACTGTGGCGGAACCTGTCCCGTATGCAGAGCCGCTTTGGCAGGAAGGAGTTCAGTTTCTTCCCCCAATCCTTTATCCTGCCCCAGGACGCCAAGCTTCTGCGGAAAGCCTGGGAGAGCAGCAGCCGCCAAAAGTGGATTGTTAAACCAGTGAGTGAGTCACAGTGGGTAGTAGATGGTGGACTTGGTCCGAAAGAGGGACAACCAGAGCGCTGGGCCAGGAGCAAATGTCCTCTGCTTTCTGCTTCTAGCCAGCTTCCGCTCGAGGCATTGGCATCCAGGTCATTCACAAGTGGAGTCAGCTCCCCAAGCGAAGGCCTCTTTTGGTGCAGAGGTGAGCCTGTTTCCCTCCTAATTACCCATCTTCTCGGCCTGGACGCCCTCTTTTTACAGTGTTCTCTGGCCTTTTGTCCTGCTAGCTGAATTCTTTCCTCGGTAACTGTTTTAGGCCTATCTTGGAGTATGTCAGTTGGCTTTTTCCTCATTTACCCACTGACCCCTTAGCTCATCTGTCATGTGCCTGACCGACTTGTCCCCTACATAGGTACCTACACAAACCCTACCTCATCAGTGGCAGTAAGTTTGATCTGCGCATCTACGTTTACGTCACCTCCTACGACCCCCTGCGGATTTACCTCTTTTCAGACGGACTTGTCCGCTTTGCCAGTTGCAAGTATGTGATAGTGGTGAGGTGTTACCCTGACTATTTTGGGCGTTTTCCTAAGAGGGAGGAAAGCTGGAGGACACTGAAAAGTAATTGGTGTTTTGTTAGCCAGAAAGACAGTGGGTTTATTTAGGGAAACCTGGTCTTCCTTTCCTCCCGTGTGTCCCCTTGACTTTCACATAGAATAGCTTACTTCCAGTTCTGCTCATGAGTGTGTGGGGATTCCTTCCCCACTCCCCCCAGCCTAAGCACCTCTCCCGAATACCAGCAGGGTGTCCTACAGTTTAAATCCATCTGGCTGTTTATCGTGGGAGAGAGTACGACCCACAGGTGAGGGCTCTGCCCCACAGAACTGCTCCCATCCCCGCAGAAGCCAGCTGCAAGCCCAGTTGTCAGCCTGCGCTCCTGATCACTCAGCTGTGGCTCTGGGGTTCCAGTGACCCCTTCTGGATTCAGTTAATTTGCAGAGCACCTCACAGAACTCAGGAGAACAGTTTACTGGTTTGTTAAAAGGATATGATAAAGGTGACAGTTGACGGTCCAGATGGAAAAGATTCAGAGTGCAAACGATGTTGGAAGGGGCACCAAGCTTCTGCTGCCTCCATTTCCACATATTCACCCACCTGGAAGCTCTCTAAACCGAGTTTGTGGGATTTTTATGGCGACTTCATCACATAGGCATGCTTTGTCGTTAATTCCATTTTGAGCCCCTTTCCTGTTTCTGGAGATTGGAGGCATGGGGGTTGAAAATTCTAAGCTTCTAATCATGCCTTGGTCTTTCTAGTGACCAGCTCTATTCCAAAAGCGCACCCAGATTTGCTTTATTGGGACAAAAGACACTGCTGTCACCTAGGAAATTGCAAGGACTCTGTCAGGAACTGTGTGGTCAAAGAGCAAATGTGGAACAAGAGATGTGCCTCGTACTTTTACTACTTCTCAATACTTAGATGTTTACAGGGGTTTCCGAAGTTCTATGCCAGAAAATCTAACAGGGTAAATGAGAAATAAGGAGATGCTCTAGTACAGTGAATTCACTAGGAGTCTTAGCCATCCTGAGAGGGTCTTTTTGTAAGACATTAGAGAGGAAAAGGAGGTGAATTTCTAGAAAGTGGCCATACTAGTGTACATACTTTTCAAGTCCTTGTACATCTGAAAAGATCTGTCTCCTTGTTGGGATTTTACCTCTTCAGGTTTTAGGAAAATGTTTTGGAATGTTGTCCATATGCTGTCCCACCATCTTAGAACTCTGCGTCTTTCTCTCCACTTCTAGGTATTCCCCTTCCATGAAAAGTCTTAGCAACAAGTTCATGCACCTGACCAACTACAGTGTCAATAAAAAGAATACGGACTACCAGGCCAATGAAGATGAAACCGCCTGCCAGGGCCACAAATGGTACTCAGGCAGTGTTCCTTCCAGTGGGGCTAACAATGCTCAGAGTTTTGAGTTTTGGGGGGTTGGGGGGTGGTGAGTGGAGAGTTAATATAAGATGGAAAGATTATACAAAGACTTGGTGATTCAGAGTTGGTTTGTTAGCATTCAAATTCATTTCTTTCTAAAATCAAAATATCAAATGAAGAAAATACCTTTGGGCCTCTTAATTCCTTTTTCTCTTTTCTTCATCATCACTCATTCTGAGGCTATAACACCACATACTCTGGTCTCCTTCCCCCTCCCCCTGCCAGGGCATTGAAGGCTTTATGGAACTACCTGAGCCAGAAGGGAGTCAATAGTGATGTCATCTGGGAGAAGATAAAGGATGTTGTTGTCAAAACCATCATTTCGTGAGTCATACTGCCACTCTGGTTGTGGGGCGGCCACTGACCCCCTTTCTGGTCTTCTGGGCCCCCACACTGCTGTGCTCTAGACTTGCACTGTACTGTGTTTCAGCTTCTGAGGGCAAGAATGGGGTGGAGCAGATAGAGCTGAACTCTGCTTTCCTATAGAACTGCTGGCCCTGGTTAGAAGTGTCTCTTGAGAGCTACTTTCCTTGGGTTGTTTTTTTCTCCCCTCTCTGGGCCATTGCACTGGCAGGGCCGCTCTGGGCAGGGCCCTTCTGGAGGAGCTGGACCGAATACTTCCTCCTCCCTGTGACCAGGTCCGAGCCCTACGTGATCAGCCTGCTGAAGATGTATGTGCGGCGACCCTACAACTGCCACGAGCTCTTCGGTTTTGACATCATGCTGGACGAGAACCTTAAGCCGTGGGTCCTGGAAGTAAACATTTCCCCAAGGTAGATGGTTTCTTAGGTCCTCAACAGTCCAATTTTCCCCAAACCTCTGAAGTCTGTTTCTGATCTGGTCTTGCTGACTTTGGGATTTGTGTTTCCCTTCATGGTCTGTTTGCTCACACATTCGTTCTTTGCCATTATCTCAAGGTTGGATGGAGAGAGAGATTATTAAAAGTTGTTTGTTTGTTTTTTTTTATATTATATATATATATATATATTTTTTTTTAAAGTTATTTTTTTAAACTTGATCCCAATGGCATGCTTTTCCCTAGCAACTCAAAGTACCACTCTGAGAGAAGTTATTCTCTCTCTGGAGTAAGGAGACTCCCAGGATGTGCTCAGGAGTCTGCATGTTTCATCCTGGGGCAGCCAGGGAGTAAGCAGGGCTAGTACTGGCTTGGATTTAGGACTGGAAGCATTTGTGGAGTGCCTCTTTGAACTCTGCTTCTTTTCCCCATAGTCTCCACTCTAACTCTCCATTGGACATCAGCATCAAAGGCCAGATGATCCGTGACCTCCTGAACCTGGCAGGTTTTGTCCTGCCCAGCGCAGATGATATTGCTTCCAGCTCAAGCAGCTCCAGCAGCTCCACCACCAGGTCAGCCTGCTTGTTCTCTGTGTGAGCCCCCCTGTGCCTCTCTGTTGCCTCAGTGCTCCAAGAGCGTGTTGGTAATTTTGCTTCTCTGTTTGGAAATCGCTCTGGGACCTGGGGAATCAGCCTTAAGTTGTTTCCCTCCCTTTCCCAGACATCCCTCTCTTTACTCCTCTTCCTATACCTGCGCTCTGGCACACTCTCAGGAACCTCAAGGTTGATGTGACTGTAAGGACCAGTTCCATTTCCTCTCGCAAATATTTGTTGCCTCTCACAGTTGACCCATAAGGTCCTGGTCCCCTCTTCCAAGCTCTTGGGAATTTTTCCTCCTGAAGTGCCCCTCACACATCCATCAAAGCCTCGCTAACAACTGCATCCTCACAAGGCCAGGCCAGTGTGGGTTCTCTGCTCCACACACCTTCCCCCTCAGGACCACTCTTGATGGAAGGGAGCTGATACTTACTTGGTACTTCCTACAGCAGTTCTGTGAGGTTGGTAGTAGTATCCTCATTTTGTAGCTGAGGAAACTGAATATCCCAAGTATTAAGTAACCCATTAAGGTTATTCAACTGAAAAGGACTAGAGCTACGCTTCAAATCCTGATTTGCTGGTGGTAACAAAACTTGCCTTCTCCACTATACCTTGTAGACATGTTTGATTCTGTGCTGTGGTTACTTGTCATTTGGTAGCTACTTGACATTAACTATCCTCTATGCTTCTTGGTGGCCTTCTTTCAATTCTCCGTCAGTAGTAATCTTAGTAATGTGGATGAGGAAACTGAGGTACAGTGAGGTTCAGGTAACTTTCCTGTGACACAGCCAGTAGGGCTGGATTGGGTGTTTAGTATGCATTCACTAAATCAAACTATACAGTGGTTATTCCAGGGTCTTCGTTTTAACCAGTGTAACCTAAAGAGGTATTTTATATTCCCTTAGTTCATCCAACACGTGATCTTTGACTTTTAGACAGACTGCTTGTGTGGACTTCTTCCCTGTTAAGGGTGTCTTCTCAGGCTGGACTGACCCACGTGTCCTCAGGGTGTAAACGTGCTGATCTTACCCTTGCTTCCTTTCCACCCCTCCCTTAGCCTGCCCAGTTCCCCCAGGGACAAAAATCGAATGGCCCCAGAGCACTTCACTGCACAGAGGATGAAGAAAGCCTATTATCTGACCCCCAAGATTCCTGACCAGGTAGGAGATGGCCTGCTCTCCATCAGAAGCTTCTCTGGTCAAATATGTGGGATCACGGGGCAGCCATTTTTCCTTTCTGTAGGGTAAGGTTCCTCTCCAGGTCTGAGATCCCTTTGTTGCGCAGAGATTTGTTGGCACATACATCATTCTGGGAGAGCACTGATGACTTCTCTCTAAAAATGCTGTATTTAGCTTATTCTTTTTGTTAAGAGTTGTAAACCCTTTCTCTCCCTGAGGTGTATGAGCTCCTGGGAGTTAGTGGGTAGAGTGTCAAGCTCAAGACTATTGCCAAATCTGAGTTGCTGGGTCATGATCTTGACTCCTCCAACAGACTATGTAACCTCTCAGTGGTATCTTCCTCCCTGAGCTGAGCTTGGAGACGTGGGGGTAGATGAGACCTGAGCTGGCCCACCAGGCGGCACTGGAGTCTTGGAGCCCTCAGGCCCCCGAACTGTGCTCCTGTCCCTCAGCTGCTTGGTTCTGTGCCTCCAGCTTACACTGTCATGTCCTCTTCCTCTCTGTTCCTCTTTGCCATAGGACTTCTATGCGTCTGTGCTGGATGTCCTGACACCAGATGACGTTCGGATTCTTGTTGAGATGGAGGATGAGTTTTCTCGCCGTGGTCAATTTGAACGAATTTTTCCTTCTCGAATCTCCTCTCGTTATCTTCGCTTTTTTGAGCAGCCACGATATTTCAACATTCTCACTACTCAGTGGGAACAGAAGTACCATGGCAACAAGCTCAAAGGTGATGCCTTCTCCCTGCCCAAAAGAGGCCTTACTTAGTGAGAGGTTAAATTTCAGTAGACTGTGCTTTGGGCTTCTCTGGCAAGAGGTATGGACAGTGTTGATTCTGTTCTTTTTAATGACATCCCTGCTCTTCTTGTCCTAGGAGTAGATCTGCTTCGGAGTTGGTGCTACAAAGGGTTCCACACAGGAGCCGTCTCTGATTCTGCTCCAGTAGTGAGTGATGCCATTGGTGTGGGGTGGGGTGGGGGTGGGTCATCTCCATCTCAGGCCCCTCCGTCCTCTGCCTGCTGAGCACAGGATGGGTTGGATATGTCTGGACCCAGTCACTTCTCACCAGCCTGCCTCCTTCCTTCTTAAGGGAATAATTGCCTCAATATTCTGTGTTTGTTTTTTTTTTTTTAAGATTTATTTATTTCTGCATACAAGAACTGGGGTACAGGCCAGAGGTGCAGTAGGTGAGGATTCACCAGAGACAGTGGGGAGCAGAACAGGAAAATCGATGAAATACACTGTTGAGGGGAGCAGTGGGAGGATCAGGAGAGGTCTGCCACACCACGTGGATGGGGATTGAACTCCTGCAGCAGTGGCTCTGGACAGCTTCATAGTGCTGCAGTTTAATACCATTGCACCACCAGGGAGAGCCCTGGGTTCCTTTTTTTTCAAGGATCAAAAAGTGCTCTTAGCCTCAGCTTCTTGTCTGAATCCTGAGATAACCAAGACTTCTCCCTACGTGGTCCCCATACCTGAGGTAGAATAGCGGAGAGCTCTGAGATCACTCAGAGGTAGAGCTGGGAAAGTTCTCTGACTCCGAACCGTCCCAGCTGACTGCTGCCTAACCCTGTTGGCCTTACTGCTGCCTTTGCTTTTCAGTGGTCTCTCCCGCCATCACTTCTCAATACCCCAAAGGGCGAAGTGCTGTTGAATGCTTTCTCTAAATCAGAGACTGGCAAGCTGGGGTAAGTGCTGCCTGGAAAAGAAAAGGGTATTTGTGAGTCCAGAGTTTCCTTCCTTTCCAGTTTATGGTGAGATCAACATTTTTCCCACTGGGGAGTTGTGGGAATACCAGAATATGCAGCGACAGTGTCCACTTCTGGATGGCTCGTGGGGTGCTCAGTGCTGTGCTTTGAGCAGGAGTCAGAAACCATCTGCAGAGGCTCCACTCTCAGCCACCCTTGCTAGCTGTAGGGATCTGCAGCCTTCCGGCACTCTCATGTTCACGCCTGCATGTCAGCGCTCAAGCCTTCAGATTCATAAAATCTATTTTAAGGCTATTTACTTATAAATGTCTATGTGTGTTTACATTTAGGTAAGTAAATACACACATATTTTATGGTGTATACCACTGTACTGTTGTGTCTGGTCCAGACTAAAGGCTTCTCACAGGTCAAAGTCTCAGCTATACAGCGTCTCAGTTCTTTCTTTCCTGCTTGTTCCCTTCAGAAAACATAGCTCCTCCGAGGGAAGTGTACCACTCTCTGAAGATGGGAACTCTTCCAAGCCCAAGAAGACCCAAGCTGGCTTGTCCCCTCTCCCCAAGAAACTCAGTTCCTCCATCGATGGTGAAGACACCAGCAAGGAGCCCAGCCACTCTGCCCACGTGTTACCGGTGATCAAGTACTCTGGGCGGACTTCAAGACTTTCTGCTTCCCCAACCTCCCAGTCTAACAGTGACTCCCTCCTGGCTGCTATGAGCCCATGACTGGCCTCTGTCCACTAGCCCCTGTCCAGGAGCACCAGCATTAGCTACCTCACACGACCTGGCCATCTGGCCAGCCAGCCAGCCTGAACCCCACCCCCTCCACCTTGCCCCTCCTCAGAATATTTTTTGAAGTAGCTGAATTGCAAAAGATGGGTATTTGGAGGGGTGGTGTGGATGAAGAGAAGGTGAGGGACGTTTGCCCACTGTCACCTTCTGCCTGGCTGGCGCTGCGTATCTCAGCAGAGACGCCGATGGTGGCCACTCAGCCTTATAAAGCAGGGTTTGGTTTCTACCTTCAGAGAGCCACGTGTGGTTTGTTTGGGGCTTTGATGCAGAGATTGAGTTACAACTCGAGAGAAAACATATGGATTTAGGCCTGAAGTCCTTTTGTTCTATAATTGAGGAAGTTCCTCTGAAGGTCCTCATTTCCTCATGTCTCACATCCCCCACCCCACAACCTGACCTGAGGAGCCATTTTGAGAGATCTTTAAACTTACCCCACTAGCTAGGTAAGGCAAGACTGACATGATGACATGTTTCCTGTTATCTAGTCTTGGGGCTTTACCACCTCCAGACCACTGTTGAGCTTCGTATTTTGACTTAATATTGCTACTTGTTCAACCTTCTAGACTTTATTTTCATGAATGTTAATTAAGCTCTTTAGTTCTCGATTTTCTGTTACATGAGAGGCCCTATGAACTTCGTGAATGACTCATGATCTTAATGAAGGAGCCCAGATAATCCCAGTTGCTATTGTCTGTGTTCATCTAAAACAGGACACATTGCAGGGGGAGGGTGGAAGGAGCTGAGGTTTCCCCCCACACACACAGGAATTCTCAGGTTCTCCTTCACCACTTTCTCTGTGGTTAGCCAGATCTGGCCCATAGGTCGCTGGGGCAAGCCAGGCCTTGTGGCTTGGGGTTAGATTTCAGGAGCAGTCACCACTTTAGGGTAGGCTTCTGATGAGACTGCTGACTAAACTCTGGTACTCTTAACTGCATCTACCTCCTTCTCTAAGGCTTGGTAAATAGTGAGTGTTCAATAAATGTTGGCTGAGTGAACTGTACGGATGGAGATCTCAAAGGACAAGCATCTGAGCCAGAAGCTCCATTTCCTCTCACTCCTGGGGCAAAGTGGAGCTCAGGGAGAGCACGAGGTGGGCAGGTGTGAATCAGGTGGCTTTTGCTTCAGATGTGCCCTTTGCTAACCCGGCACTTCCCAGTTGCCACTTTCCCCTCTCTAGCCTCTTCAGTCCCTTCACTTCATTTTTCTAGCATTAGGGCCCAAGGAGAACCCAAGTAACCCAGTCTCTGATTCCCACTTTTCCCCTTGCACATCATGCAGGAAGCTCTGCTCAGTTTCACTCTGCTCTCTGCCTTCTTCAACTTAAACCAGCTGTGGTTCCTTGCCATTTGAGAACCCAGTCAATCAATTTCCATTTCTACAGCATATAGTGGGAATGGGGGTGTGGGAGGTTGGGGTGGACCCAAGAAATGGAGATAGAAGTATCATGTCCTACGCAGTTTAAAATGCTTGCTTTTCATTGTCATCACCGTTGAGTAGCTGACAGATCCAGATGTTTTGCTGGATGGGAGAAGGAATGGGGCTCATGTGTGGAATTGAAATTTGGGAGTACAGTAGAGTAAGTCTTTGCAGAACATGTCATTTGTTTTCCTAAGTTACAAACTTACCCTTTATCTATTTAGAACAGGAGTGAGAGTCTCCTGATTGAGGAAATACAGGGTGTTATTGGAAGAGTAGAGCAGACTTCAGTGGCAAAGAGCGTGTGTCTTATGACTCAGATTTGCTCAGGGTTGCTCAGCAATGATTGAGAAGGAAGTAACTTCGAGTGGAGGGATGATACCGTTAGGAAAAGGGCCTGGGCTGGAGGCCAGCCTGGCTTTCAGCTCTCTCTGCTGTGTCCTTGCGACTGAAAACTCACTTTGCTGGTGTCTTTTAACAACTTAATGTGAATATAATAGATACATTGCAGGGTTGTGAAAATTAAAACATGATAAAAAGCATTTAGGTTATGCCTTTCTCTGTAATCTAAGCCCTGCTTCCGGGGTAGGGAAAGACAGGTAAGAAATGTTAAGCCCATTCTAGAAGGGAAGTGAAATAGCTGTCAAGATGTTTTAGAGGTGAAGAAATAAGAACACCCCCAGCTTCTCTCTCACACACAAACGTACACACCCGCACACAGAAATACTATCATTCATCCTGCTTTTACTGGGGACATTTTCCTTTAGTTAAATATTTCATGGAATGCAAATTCCCTGAATAAGAAAGCACATTAGCATTAGAAATATGTGAATTAAATTAAAAGAGAAACTTTGATAGAAAAGGGAGAGGTGGGAGGCTGTCTGTGCATGGTGACTAAAAAAGGGAGGAGCTAAGTGCAGAAGAAAATGTTTAGTGCTTAACCTGGAGCTCTAAGGAACAATCTGGAGAAGTTGCCTTCGCAGATCCATTCTTAGGGAATCAGAATATTTTGTTTAGGGTGGTTATTCCTCCCTGACACTAGACAAAGGGACGCCTGGTTGTCCTCTGCATCCATCCAACACTGGTTCCGTGAAGGAGGTCAGTGACCCCAGAAAATTACATTTTCTTCATCAGCTGAATTACCCAAATAAGAGGATGGCCTGCAGTAGCCAGTGGACCTGTCCTGGCTTCCTTTAAATTGGTCTTTCAGGACTGCCAACTCTGTCTGCTGCTTAGATCAATCTCCCAACTGCTATGAGACTTAGAGCACTTGAGGTTTATCAGAAACGTGACTGGGGCAGCTCCGTTGCATTCTGCCTCCGGTTCTGACTGTGTGACCTGGCTGCATCAGTGTGACCGTGTGACCTGGCTGCATCAGTGTGCGTACTCATCTGACTTGACCTTTCATTGGTTTAAGGGAATGAAAGCAGCAAACAATCTTATGTTGCTCTTGGCATATTTCTTAAAGGTGAAAGAATGCAAGAATAATAGAGCAGTTTTCCAAAACTCATTTGTGCCTTAATTATAAGGGACTAAGACAAATGGAATGCTAAGAGCTGCCTTGGCACAAACTAACAATTTTGAAATGATTTGTGAAGTGTGGGAGACCAAAGTCTTGTCTCTGTTGTTCCAAGTGTTAAATGGGGACAGAGGGAGGAAGTGTACGTGATACCCACAAAGTGCCTGAAATATATAATGCAGATTCTAAGGCAATTAAAAACAGCCATCACCAAACATTTTTATAACAGCAGCATGTCAGCCACAGTACTCCCAATACTGCCACAGTAGTATAGTGCTGTTACAAACCTATGATAGAAGTATACTTCGATTCTATCCAGAGGTTACCAAATAGATTTCATCAGGATAATTAAAAAGACTGGGACTCAGCATTAGTAGTCAGGGAGGTGCATTTAAAATTCTAACGACATGGTTTTGGTGTATTTGCTTGGCTGTGGGGCCAGTGGGGCTAAGCCCCTACTGTCTGGGATTATGGCTGGACCTAAGTCAGAATCCCTTCAAGGCTGAAGTGTAGGGCACCGTGACTCACTCGGCCTTGGCCTCTGCCAGGTCTGCAGGCAGGCTATCAAGTGCTCCCTAAGTGGTGCAGGGGGGACCAGGTCCTGAGTAGGGAGCCTCTGACCCAGTGAAACACCTGAAAAGGGGGCTGCCCCATGCACATTTACGGGGTACCTGATACCGCACCATTCTTTTTTATACTCGTTTGTTTAGTATTTCAGATAATTTAGAGATATGCTTAACCAAGCTAAGACTTTTCATGATATTTTTAAGTGTTATAAGAATAAAAAAATAATAAATACCTCATTCCTATATCTGTGGTATTTTACATAGTTTTAAATTCTTAAAGATAAACTGGTTTGTGCTTGCTGCATAGAGTAGGTCCCTCACTGTGATCTATTGAAAGCCCTGAACACTAGACTCTGGGGTTTGGAGAGCACTGGAAAAAAAAAACACTATGAGATGCCAAGTATGCAGTAAAATGTCTAAAACAAAGGCTGAAATACCAAGTGTCAGAATGTGGAGCAGTGAGATCATACGTTCCTACTGGGAATGCAAGTTGTACATTGGAAAAGAGCTTGGTAGTGTCTTAAAGTGAAACATGCTGTTAACATACAACCTGGCAGTTCATACCTGCAGGCACATGTTGACAACAACTTTATTAATAACAGCCACAACCCAAATAGCAACTAGTGAATGAAGTAAATTGTGATTTAGCTGCTCAATACTACAAGGTAGGTATAAAGAAGGAATAGAGGCCTCCTTGGTGGCACAAGGGAATAAGTCTTGTCGTTATGAAGCTATCAGCAGCCACTGCAGCATGAATTAGATCCCCTGCCAAGGAGCCAGCCCACCTGGTGTGGCAGACCCACCCCTGACCCGCCCACTGCTCCCCTCAGGCAGTGTCTTTCAGTAGATCTGCCTGTTCTGCTCCCCACTCTGGTGAATCCTCTCACCCCCAGCACCTCTGGTCTACACTCCAGCACTTACTTATGTAAATAAGTACTTAAAAAATTAAGGAATAAATGTACATACCACAATAGAGATGAATAGTGCATTATGCTAAGGAAATGCATCCAGAAACAAAGCAATGCTTTGTAACTCCACTTGTGTAACTTCTAGAAAAGGCGAACTTCTGGGAGAAAGCTTGAGTGGTTGCCAGGGAGCGAGTGACTGTTGAAAATAGTCTCTATCTTGGCTGTAGGAGGAGGTACAGCAACTCATCAAATTTACCCCTAATTTGCAGGTAAGCAGATACAGCTGACTTTTTTAAAAAAACCTTATTTATGTATACAAGAGCTGGGGTGTAAGCCAGAGGTGCAGGGGTGATGAGAAGATTGACCAGAGACAGTGGGGAGCAGAACAGGCAGATCTACTGAAATACACTGCTGAGGGGAGCAGTGTTCAGGGCAGGAGAGGTCTGCTGTGCCATGTGGGTCACTTCCCTGGCCAGAGATCTAATTCATGTTGTAGTGCCTGTAAATAGCTTCATCGTGCTGTGTCTTAACCCCTTGTGCCTCCAGGAAGGCCCAGCTATAACTGACTTTTAAAAAAAGGACAAAGAGAGGGGCCCTCCCTGGTGGCACAGCGGGTAAACGCAGCACCAAGAAGCTAAAGCCACTTCAACACAAGTTTGATCCTCAGCCCTGGAGGTGACCCACATGGTGCAACAGACCTCTCCTGACCCGCCTGCTGCTCCCCCCAGCAGTGTACTTTGTCAGTTGGCCTGTTCTGCTCCCCACTCTGTCTCTGGTGAAGCCTCTCACCTGCTCCCCACTCTCTCTGGTGAAGCCTCTCACCGCCCCTGCTCCCAGATCTGGCCTGTATCCCAGTTGTGTATGCATAAATAAGTAAATCTTAAAAAAAAAAAAAAAAGACAAGGAGATCCCACTTACTGATATTACTAGTACATATACAATGCAACAAGATAACATAATTAAAATTTAAGACCATCAAGACCAACTTGAGAACAGCTTTCCTACACACCTGTGTCTATGCAGGTGCCTTTTTTTCCCTCCTCATCCTAATAAACATGTCCTTGAAAAATACTTTTTAAAAAAAATTGGGACATTTGTGTGTAACTGGTGTGAGTGTAAAATAATGCAATCTTGGACACAACACTTCATTAGAAGTTAACATCTACTTAATGACTCAACAATTTTACTTTCAGGTGTTCTCCATGTTCTCCCCTTTTCTCCCCCTCCCCCTGATGAAATCATATCTAGAAATGTGTTTTGCTGCTTTCCTCGTAAACAAAAAATGAGAACCAATGTGTCTCCTGGCACGTCAAATAAACTGACCTGGGGTACTCAGTAATTAAAAAGAGATTCTGACTTATGCAATTACATGGATGAATCTCAAAAACATGTCAAGTGACGGAAGTCAGACACAGGCATCCATGTTGTAGAATTCTGCTTAGGTGGGCTCCAAGGGGGTGCAGCAGTGACAGCAGCCCCCTCAGGGGTTAACAGGATAGCAAGGAAAGGGCAGGGGGGATTCCTGCCATTCCTGCCGTGTGGCAGTGCTCTTGAATGGGGTTTTGTTTGCAGACGTACTTATTAAAATATCGCTGTACACTTAAAAGCTGAGCATTTTAGCATCTTCTTTTTCATTGTTTAATTTTTTTTTATTGGGATAACGGGCTTACAGCTCCAGCTAATTTGGTACTTATTCACACCCTGAGATGTGTGGTTACCACCCCATCAAAGTACCAGTCCCTGGGGTCCCCTCCACCTCATTGAGCCCCCTCCAGTGGCCTCAATTCTGAGTCAGATTTCCTGAGTTGGTTTTGTTTAGTTTTGTCTGTTCCTTTGTTTTGTTTTTTTTTATGTGCTGATTTATTTTTGCTTAGCATGATCCCCTCCAGTTCCACCCACATGTCACAAGTGGCAAGATTTCAAAAAATAATGTTTTCTTTTTCGAAACTGAAGTAAAACTGATGTAAAATAAACCGTGTTAAAGTGAACATTTCAGCGGCATTTAATCCATTGATGATGGGTACAGCTGTGCCACCTCGTTCTTAAAACACCCTAAAAGAAAACCCCTGCCTTCCTACCCCCAGCCCACTGTTTTCTGTTTCTGTTGGTTTACCTATTCCAGAGAGATGACATAAATGGAATCATACAGTACGTGTTTTTGTATCTGGCTTGCCCTTTGTGTGTGTTCCCATTGAGAATCTTAGGTATTTCAGAAGAGAAGTCAAAATAGCCACTAGAAGAGGTATTCTAGACATTTTATTAATATGTATGTGTCTTTCCCTACAGTGGTCACTTGAACAAAAGAAAAAATTATAGTTACAATTAATTGTAGTTAATTTTTTTTAAAAGATTCATTTATACATACAGAACTGGGATACAAGCCAGAGGTGTAGGGGCGGTGAAAGAATTCACCAGAGACAGAGTGGGGAGCAGAACAGGCAGACTGACAGAAAATACACTTGTTAGATAATGCAGAATTTCAGACCCTAGCCCAGACCTACTGATGCACTACTTTTATTCATTTGTTAAAAGAAGTAAATAGGCCCTCCCTGGTGGCGCAGCGGGTTAAAGCACAGCACTGAGAAGCTAAAGCCACCTCCGCATGGGTTCGATCCCCGCCTGCCCCGGAGGTGACCACATGGTGTGGCAGACCTCCCCTGACCCGCCCGCTGCTCCCCTCAGCAGTGTACTTCGTCGATCTGCCTGTTCTGCTC